ATTAATTATATGTGACCCTGGACCACAAAACCAGTCATAAGGGTCAATTTCTCGAAATTGATATTTATACATCATCTGAAAGCTGAATAAATAAGCTTTCCATTGATGTATGGTTTGTTAGGATAGGATAATATTTGGCCGAGATAAAACTATTTGAATATCTGGAATCCGAGCATGATCTTTACTTAATATCCTTATGATTTTTGGCATAAAAGAAAAATCGATAATTTTGACCCATACAATGTTTTTTTGGCTATTGCTAAAATTATACCCAAGCGACTAAAGACTGGTTTTGTGGTCCAGGGTCACATTTATATTATATTATATTAATTATATTATATTATAACCCTGCAACAGCAGGTGGTCCAGACGAAGGTCAAAGGGATGACCCTTTCATCCATTGCAAGAGAAGTTGGTCATTCCAAATCTGTGATTTCTCGAATATCGCAGGTTTACAATTACACTATTTCATTAAAGTCCCCCCAAAAAGGCTGGTCATCCACGTAAGACAAATGCACAAGAAAACAGGATAATGCAGAGACTCTCGATGGGGAATTGGTTCAACACTACAGCTGGAATTGCTCGCCAGGATCTGTCTCGGCATGTTTAAGAGAAGACGGACTGAAAGCGCACTCTGCAGTGATCAAGCCTCTCATCAGCAGAAAGAGTCAAAAGGCTAGACTCACCTTTGCTGAGAAGCATTTTGTGTGGACAGAGGAGAACTGGTCCAAACTTCACTTCAGTTGATGAGAGCAAGTTTAATTTATTTGGGTCTAATGGGAAACATTATCTTCGACGCCAAACTGGGGAAAGACTGAAGCCCAAGTGCATAAAGAAGTCAGTGAAAGGTGGAGGAGGAAGTGTCATGGTTTGGGGGACGTTTTCTGCAGCAGGAGTTGGGCCTCTTATAGAGCTACATGACAGAGTGAATGCAAGTGTTCATCAGAACCTCCTTCAGCAGCATGCAGTTCCGTCCCTGCAAGCATCTCCCAATCAGCCTGTAATTTTCATGCAAGACAATGCTCCCGTCACACTGCAAAACGGATAAAGCAGTTCCTTGATGCCAAGAACATTGAAATAATGAAATGGCCGGCACAGAGTCCATATTTAAACCCGGCTGAAAATCTCTAGAAAATCCTTGGCGACAAAGTTATGGCTAAGAAACCCACCACAGTTACCAAACTATGGAAGAGAGTGGAAGAAGAGTGGACCAAGATCACACCAGCACATGTTCTGGCTCTTCCAAGCTTTATAATGGCAGTGAATGGTGGTCGAGATTTTGAAGCCCCAAAAAGTGCATCCATCCAACATAAAAAGTACTCCACAAGGCTGTGGGGGGTTAATAAAGGCCATCTGAAATTAAGCGATGTGTTATGCACATCTCGTCAGTAAAGCCGGGTCTGTGATTAGTAGTAAATCTCCAGCCCGTGCTTTCAGATGGAGCGGCATTTACTACACAAACGCAATATACTAGAGCTGCGGTCAGGATGCGAGCTTGGAGCTGTTCTTCTGTCTCATAGTCTTCACCGTGTTCACCACTCTGATCTTGAAAACTTGACATACGAAATGGACAAGGTTAGATTAAATGACTGCAAGGTTGATGAATTTAAAGGGATAGTTCACCCAAAAATGAAAATTACCCCATGACTTGCTCCCCCTCAGGCCATCCTATGTGTATATGAATTTATTCTTTCAGACGAATATAATCGGAGTTATATTTAAAAATGTCCTGGCTATTCCAAGCTTTATAATGGCAGTGAATGGTGGTCGAGATTTTGAAGCCCCAAAAAGTGCATCCATCCATCATAAAAAAATACTCCACACGGCTCCAGGGGGTTAATAAAGGCCTTCTGAAGCAAAGCGATGTGTTTGTGTAAGAAAAATATCCATATTTAAAATTTTATAAACCGTAATCTCTAGCTTCCACTATCTGTAGTACGCACGTTCACGAGAGTAGCATAAGCTTTGGTGAGAAGTGACGAATGCGGAAGCACAGAGGAGAGAGCAAAACACCGGTCACAAATTAAAAGTACAAAATGTAAAGGAAAATGTTGTTGCACAGCCCTAGTTGGAAGATTTCGATATAAGCCAAGAGGAGACTGGTTTTCCTTTGCTGTAAACAAAACTTGGTTCTCGAGAGACTAGCATATTCTCACCGGAGCTTTTATTTTTATTTTTTATTATAACTCCGATTGTATTCGTCTGAAAGAAGAAAGTCATATACACTTAGGATGGCTTGAGGGTGAGTAAATCATGGGGTAATTTTCAGTTTTTGGTGAACTATCCATTTAACTCTTGTATTTCATCAGATCTGGAGAATTGGGGCTCGAACCTGGTGTTTGGCTGGGCATCTTCTGAAGATTCTCCATGTGCTGAAGAGGATGAGCTTTCTCCAGCTGTGTCAACCTCATGGTAGGATGGAGGTGGCACAGATGTGTCACTTTTAGAGTCATTGGCCAGTCGTAACAGGGCGGCACGATGGAATCCACGTCTCACATTGCTGCACTGGGGACTGAGTGTGCCTTGAACTGCAACTGTAATGGTGCATTCAACATAATCACCATGCAACAAAACGCTCCATAATTAGATCATAAAACATGTTCTGTAGTAATAAAAGCATTGCAATGCAACAATAAAAAGTTTTGCACAATGAGCCTTTGGTTTTTTACTTCTCATTTAATGGGTCAGACTCAATGGAGTGATAGTGAAACAATCACAAACAAAGAGTTAATTGGAAATTTAGCATGCATTTATTCCCTACTTTGCAAAGGACAGAATCTCCGCTTTAAACATAAAGCTAAGCTTTCTGCAGAGCAACTGTATTCAACCAGCACGTTTCAAGTTAACCATTACTTCAATATGCCATCAGGCTGAACCACACAATCTTCAAATGTTATGGAGTGTAATATGCACTTTAGGGTGACCATACGTGCCATTTTCCCAGGACGCGTCCTGGCCAGGATTTCTATATTGCCTAAAATATCTAGGTTTTGGCTTTGTTTGCGTGTGCAGACCGATCGGTGTATGACATCAAAGTACCATACAGACGGTTATGCTTTCGAAACGCTCTCGAGGTACTTTGATGTCAAACACGGATCGGTCTGAGCCGCACTGCTTTTAAGTCGAACACACCTAATATGTACGCGTAATTGCATCGCTTTGACCGTAGATCCCACCTTCTCACACGCCATGATTGGTCCATTATGTACAATGCTTGCATGTTATTGGTCAAACTACTTTTTGATCATTACCTTCAGCAAGCATGAAAACAGGAAAACAAAGCCAAAACAAATCCTGGCCAGGACGCGTCCTGGGAAAATGGCACATATGGTCACCCTAATGCACTTTCTGTTTGCAAGCGCAATCCTGCCCTTCATGCCATGGTCACCTTCTCTAGTCGCCCAGCTGATTTACATTTTCCATACTTGGAAGCAGGCAGAACTATTTACAAGATAAAAAGCCTTCGGCAGGTGTCACGTGTGACTACTGTTTGTCAACTTTTTAAACACAAATACTGTGGACTGAAATGCTAATAAGCAGACGCCCTCTCACGTTCCCGCGCTTACCGCTGCCGAGACCCCGCAAGACCCTTCCAGCTCTCAGTCCTCTAATCAGCGCCGCCATATCCCAAGTAACCACAGCGGGTAACGATGCAATACACAGCATAGCAAATGTTGTCAGCCAATGAAAATCATTGTTACTCTAGGAGGCGCTTGGTGGCCCAGTAAACTGAATTCACCGTTGAGCCGCAGTCAAATCTCACTATGTTTATATCGCACTGTCGTCATTTGTATACTATGCACAATCATTTAAATGTATTCGTTTAAATGCATTATAATCTTATATAAATTATATATCCGCCTCAGCAATCTTTGAGAATGTATTACATAAAACGCCTTGTTAGGTCACCACAAACAGGCAATTGGCAAATTGTAATCAGCGCGGAGAAAAAAATCATGTACCACGTGACTATTTTACGCGCTACTGTAACGACGATCTGGGTAGCTGAATAATGACACTATTAAATTAGATTTTTTTTTGTAAATTGATAATAGACATTAAAGACTTTAAATATGAACACCGGTTTTTAATACCTATTGTACTAACCAATCAGAGAAAGCTGATGGCCATTCTATGCTTTTATTCTAGAAACAGCAAATGTCATCATTTCAGCGCGACGCCTAAATGCATTAACCTGTGACATTATAGCTGCGACGTCCTGTATGAAGTGCTTCAATTAAACACAAGAATAGTTAATAAGGGATATCAGGTAAGATTTATGTGGGTCCCAGCACATGTTGGGATTAGGGGTAATGAGATGGCGGACAGGCTGGCTAAAAGGGCACTAACAAAAGAGAACATAGAAATGGAGGTTAATGTAAGTAAAGCAGAGGTTAAATGCATAATATGGGAGAAAGTCAATATAAGGTGGCAAGAGAGGTGGGAAAGAGAGGAGAAAGGGAGGCATTTATATCAAATTCAGAGAAATGTTAAAGAGGAAAGGATGGAAATTGGAAATAGGAGAGAAGATGCGGTGATGACTAGGTTAAGGTTGGGACATTGTTCACTGAATAAAACACTAAAGATGATAGGGAAGCACGAGACAGGGTTGTGTGAGGGATGTCGAGAAGAGGAGTCAGTGGAGCACATAATCATGACTTGTAAAATATATGAAACACAGAGGCAGGTAATGAAGAATAAACTAAGGGAGATTGGGGTGCAGGAGATCACATTACAAGGGTTACTAAGCACAGTAAATAGGGCACAGAGTAGAATATTGATTACTTTTTTAAGGGAAGCAGGGGTTTTAAGCAGGATTTGATGTATGATGTGTGTGTGGATATTAATGTGAGGGGACAATGTGAGTGATGTGTAAGTTTTAGGGGGAAATGGGAATAGATAACTATTACGTGATCCACACTCCGGAGCAGAAGGGGGCGGTAATGCACCAATAAGCTGGATGCCAACCGCCGTTAGACTGGAAAGAAGAAGAAGATTATAGCTGCGATGTCCATTGTGACCTGTGTTGGAAAAATATTCTGTGACACGAAAAACAGGTTGGACAGCTATTTATTTTTTTAGAAAAAAAAATGTTTTGGTGAACATTCTGTTTAATTGAGGGGTTTTCTGATTTTTGGTTAAAAGGAATGGCATGTTAGAGCTCTTTCGTTACATTGGCATTGATATCTGTGGGAAGTCGTGGCCTAATGGTTAGAGAGTCAGACTCGTAAGGTTGCGGGTTCGAGTCTCGTACCGGCAGGGATTGTAGGTGGGGGGAGTGAATGTACAGCGCTCTCTCCCACCTTCAATACCACGACTGAGGTGCCCTTGAGCAAGGCACCGAACCCCCGACTGCTCCCCGGGCGCCGCAGCATAAATGGCTGCCCACTGCTCCGGGTGTGTGTTCACTGCTGTGTGTGTGTTCACTGCTGTGTGTGTGCACTTTGGATGGGTTAAATGCAGAGCACTAGCACTTTGGATGGGTTAAATGCAGAGCACTAATTCCTAGTATGGGTAACCATACTTGGCCACATGTCACGTCACTTTTTCACTTTATCTATCTCTGATACGCAATGGTGTGTTTACGTTGTTTTGTAACTGCACCGTCATTATGATGCAGCATATCTTACTGTAAATGGTCATTTGTAATGTTTAGTGTAGATAAGACTCAAAACACGCATTTGAGCCTTATATTAGCAGGTGATGGCAGACCTTGGACTGAAGGAGGGGTACAGGGTGCTGCTGATATGGACTCAGCCTTCATCTCCCACTGCACTGAAGGAGTTTGCTGAAAGCATTGGCACTGTTGTTGGTAACCAGAGTCTGGTGTCTTTGGAGAACATGGAGAGACTACAATTGTGTAAGTACAGAGGTATATTAGTTTAATACTTTCAAGTCTTGGTCTGAGTTAAAGAATTTTAAGGAGTCATTCACCCCAAAAAATCTGTCTGTGTTAGCTTTTCATGCAGCTTCTAGTTATGACTGGGTTGTCTCAGGCCTGCTGACCGACAGCTCACCAATCCACAGTTCAGAAATGCTGGCTGAGATCGCCAGAGTGATGAAACCTGGTGGCAAACTTGTGCTAGAAGAGCCGGTGACAGGTATCTGAATCGGAACGCCGCAGTATCTGCAACATTCTCAAGTGAAATGAATCCGTGCTAATGGTTCCCATTATAACATTTTTCTTAGGTTCTGAGGATAATAGTGTGAGAACCGCTGGGAAACTGATGTCAGCTCTTAAACTGTCTGGATTAGTATCTGTTACTGAGGTCAGTATTCAGTGATTTTTTTAAGTTGATTCAGTGTAGGACTGGGTGATATCGTTAAAATATCGTTTTTTTTTTAGCCATTTGAAATTAATATTTATGTTTTATTATTAATATAGTATTTATAATAAAATAGAATAATAATTATTGTTGTTGTAGTTAATAATAGTTTATTTTAATAAAATAACTAATAATGATAATTAAAAAATTCACATTGACAAACTGTTGAATCAAGTTTTGAAAATCATCATTATTATTTCACTGATGTCTATTTATTATTAATAATAATGTTTATAAAAATAAATAATAATAAAAATATAATAATTGTACTATTTATAATTTAAAAAAGACTGAAAAAAAAAATGCTTCGCATGATCTGACTGATGCAAACAAATTTTTCACAGGTAAAGACGGAGTCACTGAGCCCAGAAGCAGCCGCAGCACTGAGAGAACACACAGGGTTCCATGGAAACACACATTTAAGGGTGCGATTGTCAGCATCGAAACCTAACTTTGAGGTCGGATCCTCGACGCAACTGAAACTTTCCTTTGGCAAGAAAACCACTACAACAGGTCTGTGGTATTTAAGCACTGACACATTAAATGTAACGTAAGTTCCTAAGTTTTCATCTCACAGTTCTGACCTTTTCCCCCACAATTCTGAGTTTACTGTATATTGCATCATATCACTTTTATCTAAAGAATTAAGTAAAAAGGTAAATTTTTTTATTCTGTGGCAGGATTCCGTGCAATCATTTTGAGAAAAAAGTCAAATGTGAGATGTAAACTCACAGTTACGAGTTTGTAACTTCCAGTTTCACTAATTGTGAGATAAAAGGTCACAATTACCTTTTTTTTTTTTTTTTGTGGCAAAAACAATGTTTCATACATGTTGACACATCAAATAAAAATGGACAAATCAGTAAGTCCACAACACTTGTTTTCTGCAGAGAAACCAGCTCTTGATCCAAGCACCGCACAAAAGTGGACTCTTATCAGCCAATGATATGGACGATGATGATGTGGTATGTAAAGGTTGGCTTTGGCATCTGCCAATCTTGTGCCTTTTGTGTATCACCCACCACATTGTTCTATTCCGCTCTCTAGGATTTGGTAGATTCAGATGCACTTTTGGATGCTGATGATCTGAAAAAGCCTGACCCTTCCTCCCTCAAGGCTTCCTGTGGAGATGACTCCAAAAAGAAAAAGACCTGCAAAAATTGGTGATTACCTTAAATTAAAGAACATATAAAGGTGTAAACAATGTATCCATCTAACTAACGTAAATGTTCTTGGTTGTAGCACTTGTGGTCTTGCTGAGGAATTGGAAAAGGAGAGTGAAGCCACTCAGAAAGCCAGCCAGCCCAAATCAGCCTGTGGAAGTGTATGTATTTCTATGATCAAATTATTACTGTATTTGTTTAAATTGACTTTAAGGTTTTGTATAAATTGACAGCTGACATTTTTCCTCTTTAGTGTTATCTGGGTGATGCCTTCCGATGTGCCAGCTGTCCATATATAGGCATGCCTGCCTTCAAACCTGGGGAGAAGGTTCTGTTGGCCAACACTGATATAGCTGATGCATAGACATTCACTTTTGACACATTAATACATTCCGTTATCATTCTGCAACATTGAGGCCCAGATTACATTTCCATCGTTGTAATCAACAGGGATGCAGTTCACAGAGTGTCATTTGACAATTGAATGCACTAAAGTTACCCGTACAATAAATACATGACAAAAACTGAAAAGGTTATGCACTGTTTGGTTTTAAATGTATCTTTTCCATCAGATTTTTAGCCTTTGTCAGATAGCGTCCAGAGATATCACTGAAATGTTCAAAATATAAATAAATAGCTGCATTATATTATCTCATCCTTATGTATAAGAACGGAATCTCCACTTTGAGTGTAATTTGTTTTATTTGAAAAGCAGTTGCTCATGTATTTTGCCTTCTGTATAGAATACAATTATTTTAAGCCAAAATCAAATGCTTAATAAAATTGGTTAAAATAATACATGGACTTTTGCCTCATTTTTTATACTGCAAGACAACATTTTATATCAGCATCATGAGACTTGTGTAGCAACATACAGTTTGATCTATCATATAGTATATGAAATCAGAATTAATCGGATCGGATGAATTTAGATGCATTATAACACATCTGATTGATTAGATAAGTTACTTAAGCTTCTTATAGGGAGGAGAAAAACAGTTACAAGCTCATGTAAGAAGTTCACAGTCACTAAAACTCTGGATAAGCATTGTCTTGGGGAAAAATGTAAACAACTGATGGCCTAGTTTATTTGAGTCTTGTCAAAGTTCAGTGACAGAGAAGTCCATTTTAATATCACCAGTATGAGGTTCAAAGGTTAAATTATAGGAAAGATCTTCCCTTCCATCCCCAGAAGTTTCCCTGGCGGATCTAAAGAAAAACACTCCTTGTTTCCGATGTGGGTTCCATTCACAAGCTCCCTGTGAAATGAGAAAAGGCAATTAAGGTGAAGCGGTCAAGAGAGTGACACGATTATTACAATCTTATCTGAATTTCAATTTCAGCTTCATTGAGGAAGATTTATGAAGACTGACATTTCATCCGAATGCAGATACTGTTTGTACAGTAAACAAGATAATTTTTTAGCAAATACCTCTTCGCTGACTGGTTTGGTTAGGCCCATGCTTACAGTGATGTCCTCAGTCAGCTGATACTCCATCCAGAGAGCGACACCATGACAGCGTCCTCTCCTGAAACATCATCAGAGTATCATTCAAGAGCAACCTAGCATCATCTATACAATATCTATTAGAAGTGTATTTTTATAATATGAATATATATTTTAATATAGTATTTTTTACGTAACTGTTCATAAGTTTGGGGTCAGTAAGATTTTTTTTTTTTTTTAAGTAATTAATACTTTTATTCAGCAAGGTCACATTAAGTTGAACAAAAGTGAAAGTAAAAACAATAATGTCACAAAAAATTCTATTTCAAACTAATGCTTTTTTAAAACTTTCTACACTGTTTTCAATATTGATAAGAAGACATCATAAAGACATGATCATTTTTCTTGAGCAGTATATTAGCATATTAGAATGATTTCTGAAAAAGCATGTGACTGACACTGAAGAATTCAGTTTTGACACCACAGAAAAAATGCAATATATATATATATAAAACATTTATATCGTAATAATACACAATATTCAGAATATTACTTTTTACTGTATTTTTGATCAGATAAATGCAGCTCTGGTGAGCCTAAGAGACTTCTTTAAAAAAAAATGTCCTGACCCCCAACTTTTGAACATTATTTTAATAATAATATATTAGTTTATAATATATAGTTTATAATAATTATTCATTTATATTATAGCATTTTAAAATTCATGCTAAAACAGAAATTGAATTTTTACGACTTATAAATGAATACATACATATTTGTAATAATATAATAATTCTATTATAAACACCATTATAAATATTTTATAATTTAGTATAATATTGTATTATGTTTAATGCAATATAATAATTATAATATGCTATTATAATATGTTCAAACTACCCTGTGAATGGCACAGTTCCATCACTGTTAACTGGCTGTTCAGGAACGCATTGCGTAAAGTCAAATGTCAGAACTGGATGTGGTTTTGTCAGAGCATGACATGGGTATTCCCACAGTGGATGCGGCTCTGCCTCCAAGGATTCACGGTAATCCAAAGATTGCTGTGGGTGGAGTACATCACAAAAGCATATTAATCAACTGCATTCAAATTTCATGCAAATTGCTTATTCATAACAGGATTTCAGACAAAAACCTGTAACCCGTACTTACCTGAATCATCTCATCCATTGGGCTGACGTCAAAGCCCTCACAAGTACCGCAAGGAGCTCGGATTCGCCACAGATCCTGATTCAAGATTCACAAATGTATTATACAGAAGTCAGTCAGTCTGTAAATATATAATACAGAATATATATCCAACAACAATTATCCAAAAGAAATAATGTACGCAAAATTCAACAGCGACTATGTAAAGCGTGGCAGCACGGGGCAGGATGGTGGCACTGGGATGGAGCAGCTGCGCCACAGCGGTGCGGCAATACCAGAAAAACAGAGAGTGCCACGGCAGAAGACTGGTGCTAAAGTACGGCTCTCCCATCAATACTGAAATCTGAAGGGTAAAAAATATAAGGTCACTATATATGTACAAGTACACTAGATATATACAACCGTTTAAAAGTTTGAATGTTTTCTATTTTTCATTTCTTATTGATTGATTATTGAAAACAGCTGCGCTGCTTAATATTTTTGTGGAAACTGTGATACTTTTTTTCAGGATTCTTTGATAAATAGAAAGTTCAAAAGAACAGCATTTATTTGCAACGGAAATCTTTTGTAAAATTATAAATTAAATAATAAATTACCTTGCTGACCCCAAACTTTTGAATGGGGGTGTATTTAAATAGTTGTTGTAGTAATTTCAGATTGTGCAGAGTCTTTGAAACTCTACAAATGCTTGTAAAGTATATACAGAGGGCATCACGGTCTATGCAGATTCAGTTTAGTTTGTACCTGATTTCCTTCTAAATCAGCTAATGAGAGCTGCTCAGGTCGTATTCCCAGCAGCTGTACTCCATGCTTCAGTGAGTTAGTATGCAGCACCTGTGAGCAGGAGATAAAACTTTTCATTACCAACCAATCCTGTCTGAACGCATGTAGGTAATTATTTTTAGATTCAAAATCTCACCTGTTCGATCACTTGTTTCGCCATTCCAGAGCTTTCCAAACTGAACACCTGAAAAGACAGAAAGAGACAGATTCATATACAAGTCAAGTCAAGTTTATTTGTACAGCACTTTTCATGATACAAATCATTGCAAAGCAACTTTACAGCAAATTAAGTTTCTACAATATTTAGTGGTAGCTTATCAGTGGTGACTGTCAATTAATGTACATATGGCAGAAATGTACGGAAAAATCAATTTAAGACGTAATAAAACAGACGATGAACACTATTAACAGCAATTATTATATGATGCAATCAAACTTATAGCAAAATGTGGTAGTTCTGTATGTTGTTTCAGGGTTGGCATCATCTGAGGTCCTCTGAGGGGTTGGCATCATCTCTTCATATACAGTATGTTCTGTTCCAAAACCTAGTGAGCTGCCTACCTAGACAGTTTTTTAATTAATTGTATTGCCTCCTAGGAAACCTTATTTTGGATCAATTTTAAGGTAACGCAGCATTTATCCTTCACAGAAAAAAATTTATCAAAGACAACAGATAAGGCAAGAAAAATGTCAGTTATTCATTCAATACTTAAAAGTATTGATATAAATAGTTCAGTTTAACTCAAAACAGATTACTTACCTAATATTGCAATTTCAAGTAGTGTAGTACACAGGCTGCTTATAATTTATTTAAATGTATGACTTACTTGCTAAAAAATAGTTTATTTTCATTCAAAACAGATTATTTACCCAATACTGCATTGTTAGCTTAGCAACATGCTAACATCAAACTCTACTGAAGTCAACTGCAAGTTGTGTGGTGCATAGAGTTGCTTATAATTTACTTAAAATGTCTAATTTACTCAAGAAAAATAGTTCAGTTTAGCTCAAAGCAGATTATTTACCCAATATTACATTATTAGCTTAGCAACATGCTAACATCAAACGCTACTGAAATCGAGTGCATAGAGTTGCATATAATTTACTTATATAGAGTTACTATATAGATAGAGTTACTTTTTCCATGAAGCTTAGGATGCTGCCTCAGAAGGCAGCTGTCTGTGTAGGGAGAAGGGAGCTCGCTAATTTGTGAACCTTCTGACTCTGAAAAAAAAAAGAGGCCTTCTCACCTTTTTAGACCCAAGTAGATGAGCAAAAATGGGTAACAGGCTCCCATCACTGACAGACAAACACACACTGTCTGGTTTCAGAATCTGCAAGCAGACATGAAACGCACTCAATTTTGAGCCATTGCCAGTCAACAGAAAGCAGCGCTTCAAGCTCACATGTAATTCAACAGTTAACTTACACTGCGTAATGCGTTCACATAACTCTCAGTCCTCTGTTCGTCATTCAGTTCCCCGAAGCGAGGCCTCGTCCAGACCAGGTGGGCCTGACAGGTGCAGCATGGCCGAAACGTTGCCACTTTGACATCATTTTGTTCACTATAAGACAGATTGTCAAAAATATAATATTGTCTTCCTCAGAGACTCTTTAAGTTCTGTCTTGGTTAAAGTTGAGAACTTGTTATCATGCCTAAACACTGCTCAAAATCACCTTACCTGTGCGTAAGGCTGTACCAGAGACTGTAGTCATCATGGGAGACGATTAAATTCAGCTCTTCTCCTTCTGACACATTCTTCTCTGCAGGCAGGAAGTAGACACTCTGCATCCAGTGATCCCTCCACTGCACATCACATGATGAAAAATAATCAAACATATTTATATATCAAGCCAAAGAAAGTTTATTTTCATTAAGGGTTTGTATTAGAGGAACCTCTTGCAAAGACATTCAGCCCAAAATGTTTATATTATTGTTCATTAATATTTTCTTTTTTTTTTTTAAATCATTATATTGAATAAAATTAAACCCTTTTTAGGAACATTATTTAATTTTATTTTATTTTGCATTGTGACACGATTAAAAAACTAAAGTCAAGAAAGAACATTAATAATCATTAACTCTTTGTATTGCTAAAAATATATTTTTTCATTTACAAAAATATGTTTTAATACTATAATGAAAATAAATGCATTGAAATATTAATGAAAAGTATTTATAAATCAATATTCTTGTCATTATATATGCAGGGAAAACCTAATTTTGTGTATTACAGTAAAAGATCTTGATATTGATGACAATAATGAGATTTACAAACAATATTCAAAACAATTCAAATACAAAATTAACATTTATAGATTTGGGTGGTGTGCTTTAATTTTCATGAAAATAATGTAAATAATGGGACTAAATATAAGCTTCTTTTCTATGCAAAATATAATTTCTTCATTTTTTACTTTGAATTATTTTTGGGTGAAAGATTACTTGGACATATTTTTGATATTCATACACGAATATTAGTGGCTAAGCACCAGTACATACAGGGTAAGTATGAGGATCTGAGTAGTTCCAACTGGGGGTCATAGTGCACACAATGTTGCCATCAGGGTCCATGTCGATGTCCCACCAGGATAAGACCACCTGTGCTCTCCCGCTGGTCTGTGCTTTGAACTGTGCCGTGTAGGACTGAGCAGCGCTGCTAACCTGTTTGCTGAAATCCACCCTAGAGTGGAAGAATAGATGAGTTACACAGAAAAAAAATGACCCCATTTTAATCCAGACAGCTAAATTACATCCAGACTTGTACC